AATTCCATTTCTTATCAAGTTCCCTGGATTTTTACATTTGGTATATACAGGTTTATAACTGTGCCCTGCCACCACGTGATGACCCTGTTTACTATGGTTAGGATTTTTAATCTTAAGTGCCCCTCTGTCTGATTTTAATACAATTCATGCTTTCTTTGTATTTATAGTCACCTGACATCCTTTTGTCCATCTTTTTTTTTCTTCACCTTTGCCCTTCATGATAAGTGGTTTTGTTATAAATAACATATAAGTAAATTTTGTGTTTTAACCCCATTTATCAGTTTCTGCATTTAAATAGTAATTTTTGGCCGTTCACATTTAGTGTAATGAGTGACAGTTAATTTTTCTGTGTTTTTGTTACTATTTACTAGCATTGTTCTTGGTTTCCTTACTTTTGTTGGTTTAATCAAATTTATTCTAGTTTTTCTTCTGTGAATGTGAGAGTTCTACACTGCTGTTGTTCATAGTTTCCCTGTGTTCAAAATCAGATATATAATTTTATCTTTTTACTTTTTTAGGGGGTAAGGGGCTTGGCTTTCTGAGACAGGGTCTTGCTGTGTAGCCCAGGCTGGCCTCAAACTCCAGGCTGCCCTAGCCTCTCCAGTGCTAGGATTACAGGTATGTGCCTCTCTACCTTTTTACTTTAAACAACACAATACCAACTACTACCTTCACCACCTCTCCCCAGGAAGGCCAGCCCTTAAAACGCCCTCATTTCCTTCTTCTCACCCCGGATGTTGTTACCAGCATGAGCCTTCTCACCCAAGACCCCATTCCTGAGGTGCAGACTACACGAAGCTGCAGAGGATGATCGGAATTTTCCTTGTGGGATGCTCATCCTAGCTCAACAGTCTCATTCACCTTTAAACCCAGGTGTTGGCAGAAGATAGTCAGGGGTCAAATTCTGTCTACTACTTGTTTTTTGTTTGTTTGCTTGCTTTTTGTCTTTCTGATACTGGGGATTGAACTCAGGATCTTGTGCTTGTGAGCCAGGCAAGGTACCACTGAGCTAAATCCCTGGCTCCTGTTACTTATTTTTGTATGGCTTCTGAGCTAAGAGTGATCCTCAGATTTTTCTGATGGGTTGAACAATGTCTTTTAAAAAGAGTATTTCATGACATGTAAAAATGATACGAAATTCAAATTTTAGTGTTTTTAAAAAATTTTACAGGACAGTGCCACACATTTATGTACTGTCTGGGCTTCTTTTGTGCACAGTTGTACAGCTGAGAGGCAGAGACGGAGGGTGGGTGTGTAGAGAGAGCGCACAGAGCTCAGGAACTGTGGGCGATAGCAACGCAGTTTAACTCCGTGGCATCTCGCCCAAGCACAGCGCTGTCCTTTATTATTACTGCACACCTGTCACGTCAAAAGTAAGGGCAAGAACAGGGCACTTCCAACGTCACACTCTCAAGGCTCAGTGGGGTGTGGATTCTGGTTTTAGAGTCTCACAGGGCAGAGCATTGTGTTTATTATTAGCTGAGCTAACAGAATACAACACATACTGACATCACAATGTTCCCAACTCACAGAAACACAATGGTAAGAAAAATGGGAAAATTTAAAACAGTATATCTCATCACTGCAGACACAAACATTTAAAACTGAGAATTGGGCTGCGACCCAAGTAAGTTTTGAGTGGCTCATTTGTTGGTCGAGCAAGGAAAGCCATTACCAGGGTAAGTTAATTAAATTGTGTTTGATTGCAGCAGTTGGAAAAAGTATCCAGAGAAAATAAGCTCGTTGAAGATTATTAGATTTGGGGCAAGAACAGTTAGTTGCTCAGGCGTGGCCCATAGGCCATCGTCTGGTCTGTGAAACGCCAATGAGTCTGGCCACATCTGCTGGGCACGGACCACGTCATGGTGTGAGGCGCAAAGCAGGGCACAGGCCTGGAGGATACAATGGGGGGCTGGACAGGTGGCACTGTCTCCATGCCAAATGCTACCCTCAGCAGTGTACATTTACAGTACCCTGTTCTTCTTTTCTAGACATTACTACCAGAAGCAACAACTTACTGTTCATTATCCGCCTCTGCTGTGAGCACAAGAACATTGTCCCTCTTGAATTTCCAACGCCTGGCATCACACTGGGAGGTCAGTAACCACCTGACTACAAGTGAAAGGAGCCTTTTCCAGGCCATAGGCACAGAAGGCCTGTGCCTAGGCTGCCCCAGGTTCACCCTCCTCCATCATGAATTGAGGATGGTTCAGGGGCTGGGGCCTAAGCTGGCTGTGTTCACAGAACAGCTTGGGCTGGGAGCTGCTGGCAACCCAACCTCCCAGACCCCTCTCTGCACAAAGGAGTGCCCAGGGAGTTGGCAGGGACCATGATGCAAGTAGGAACTTCTACAGATACCAAGCACACCAAGAATGATGAGCCAGGACAGCCACACCCAGCGCCAGCCTAACATTCAGGCCTGCACACTCCCAACAGCCTCAGGTGATCCTTATGGGCCCTGTGATAATAGGGCTTCAGAAAAGAGGAGATCCAAGCCCCAGAATTTACTCTTGTGACCCTTAGGTTTAAAAATTAGTAATAATAGAAATAAGCACATAATAGGAGACAAATATGGATCTTGGGCCCTTACATCCAAGCCCATTTCACCTTCACCCAACCCCACAGTGCAGCACAGAAAAACAGGTCCAGGGGGAGCCCTTCAACCTGCCTAGGTTTCCATGGAGAGGTGAGGATATTGGACCCAACTGGCCACGCTGATCTGAAACTCTCTGAGCCATCTGGACCCGCTCAGAGCAAACAGGGCTACCCCGGAGCCTCGCTGGGAAGTCTCGCCTCTGAGCTGGGAAGTCACCTAAGCAAGAGACAGCACCATACATGTGAAGCTAGCTGCCTGTCTGCCTTGGGATGAATGAGTGGACGGAGGTGAGGTGGCTGCCCAAAGCACATAGCTGTTACCTGGTTCGGTGAGGCTTTAAGCCTAGACTGTGGGACTGAGTTCAATGCCTTACCAACCTCACACCAGAAAGAAAGTTCCCCACCAAGGAGGCTCCAGCTTCTCAAGGACAAAATCTCTTGATACACTGGGCAAGGCTCTGTCCATACAATGCAAAGACAGCAGCCCATAGGCCATCAGTGCCTTGGTCACCATGTGACCTAGACAACTCACTTCATACCTCATGGGCTGCTCTTCAGTATGGCTGCCTGTGAAGTGGGCACCAGTGCCCTAGGCTCAAAGCAGGAAGAGAATTTACTTTCACTGAATTACTGTGTCGAGTTTCAATTTTCTAACTGTGCATTTATAATTATAGGAGGAAGTGACAAATTAGAAAAATATATACATCAGAAAAGTAATCCCCTCCTCATAGTATTAACAAGGGTTAAAAATAATGCATGCAAGGGCTGGGAGTGAAGCTCAGTGGTAGAATTCTTGCCTAGCACTTGTGAGGCCCTGGATTTAATCTTTAGTAATAAAAAAGGTGTGCAGCTCAAAAAGGCACCCAGTAGTACTTAATACATAGAGTGGGGAAGTAGGGGAGGCGGGGGGCAGGAGGCCCACTCATTCCTTCCCCCAGCCCACAGGGAAACACATGGGAGGGAAGCAACCCCTGGCATCAACTAGGGCTCAAGGCACTGGGCACCCCTGAGCTTTCCATCCTTACAGGAGCCTCAGGAAGCCCCTCTGTCCCCATGTAGGGCTCACAGTGCCCTGGGCACAAATCCAGTCATTCAGGAGGCTGGCCCAGCTGGAGGAAGCCTATGCCATCAGGGTAACAGACGTGGGGTTTGGACACCAGTTCTGTGGACTACTAGGGCTTGTGGGTTTCCCTGGATTGAGCAGAGAGAGGCTGGGGCCCTGGTGTTTCCCAGCCCCGCCCCACTGTCTCTGGAGGCCTGGGTTGGTGTGAAAGTCTGTTCACTTGTTCCTCACAGATACTCTCTCAATTCTTGGCCAGGCTTGAAGGACAACTAGACCTGAAGCCAGACCAAGAGGGACGTGGATATTTTACTACAGAATAATTATACTCCACAATGCTGCTAATTAATCAAGCTGTACACAAAGCATATACACTTGATTACCATCTTCAATCAGCATCTTGAGGCTGTGCTGAGGCTAACGGCCCCAGGCAGGCCCCGCCTCCTCATAAGGTCCTGAGGGTGTTGGAGGGATGGGAGAAGAGGACCGGACCAGAGTAGGAGAAAGCCTCCCTGGACCTGGGGGTGGGGGATCAGAGTCCAGAGAAAGAAACAGGTCACACAGGCTCCTGAGCAACCACTCCTGACGGCACTGTGGCAACTGCTGGGGGCTGGTAGGAGGAGCCGCTTTGTACTCCCCTGAGGACAGCAGTGCTTGCTGAAGGCTTAGGGTGGACCCTACTGGAGTCTCCAATGCACTGGGCTCAGAGACCTGGGCAAGACTCCAAAGCCTAGTCAAGTCCCGGGACCACCCACAACCATCCCTGTTCCACTCAAGCCACAGCCAGGGGGACAGTTACAGGGGACAGTAAGGCCTGGTAGGCACAATACCCAGAGTGCAGGACAGATAAGGGTGGGCACCCACCAGGAGGTGACACCAGCTCTCAGGACAAACTGCGTGTCATATCTGCCCTAATGTCAGGCCTGTAAACTAAACCTGCACCAGGGACAGTGAATTCAAGGGACACCAGCTGTCCAGTGACCAGAGCCCCACAGCTGTGTCACCTTGACATCCCTCCTCTTGCTCTCTGACCCCTTCCCCCACTGTGCAGGCAAGGCCAGACCTGGCCTGGCCAGTGCTGCAGCAGCGTGCCCCGTGGACACAGGCAGCTGGGGTGGACGCAGAGCCATGGAGGGCAGGAGAATTGGGGCTGGGTTGGGGGCCAAATGCTGGCACATGACACCAGCTGCAGGAGAGGCCAGATCTGCTGGGCTCTGTGGGGACAATCACCACATGGATCAGTGGAGGGCAGGGTACAGGCCCTGGCCCTGGGGGACAGCACAGAGATCTCCTGGTACTGTGAAGGGTGGGACGGGCAGTGGGCCATTGAATAGGATGAGCTCACCCGTTCCACGAGGCCATGCTTGTGCTTCAGCTTGTACACCTTCAGCAAAGGTAGGACACTCTCCGCATAACTCCTGTCCTCCAATCCGTGCAGCAGCAGCCCGTGGAAAGCCAGCCGGCACGTGTTAGCATGGATATCCGCATCCAGCCGGGAGCCAATGACCAGGCTCAGCCGTGGGCAGGTGACGGGCTTCTCGAACTCTACGAGGGCCCACTGCTGCCGGGGGCAGTGGCCCTCTGCAGCCTGACCTGCCTGCTTGCTGGCCTCATCACTATCTGCTGCTGCTGGCATTGAGTCTTTGCACAGGTACCGCTCCTGGAAGAGGTATTCTTGAGAGAAGTCGAAGGAGTCCAGTACAGGCTCTTGGTCAAAGCTGTCGGGCGCAGGGCTGAAGAACAACAGGCGGCCCATGACCGTCTCATGGCCTACCGTGATGTGGAACTTGGCCTTGGTCTGCAGGGGCCCTCGGAAATATGAGATCTTCTCCACAGAGAGGATGGCCGCATGGATGGTGTGCAGTGACTCAGGGGTACACACCAGCCCACGCTCCAGCAGCTTGGGGTCAAACTGGGTGACACAGATGCCCAGCCGGTCTCCCTGCATGGCTGAGGTGACAGGTGTGTGGAACATCTGCATGGACTTCACCTTCTTCACCACCTGACCAGGAGCAAGAAGGACAGCATGAAACCAACAGGCCTTGGGGTTGTGTGAGCCTGGGATACTCCTGCCCCTGTGCTCCTCAACACCCATCTGGCTCCTGGCCTGGGGAGAAGGCACAGGGATGACCAGCTGAAAGGAGGCGAGGGGCCACCCTGACCCTTGCTAGATAGAAAAGGCATCACCCTGAGGACCCAAGACCCTGGACTGCCACCAAGGAAGGTCAGGCCTTACAGTGGGCTGCCTTTGTATCTTTATCCTCCTGGTCCCCACTCTACCCAGGCTCCTGACCCTCCTTCCCTAGCCTTCTGCACAGGCACTGCTGCCCAGCCCAGCCTCCTGCATCCTCAGCCTGCCAAGCTGAGCCCCTGCCCTGTAAAGCCCAGTTCAGGCCACTGCTCTGGGAAGTGTATCCAGGCCCCAGTGGGTAGGACTTGTCCCTGTCTCTGCAGCGGCTCCCAGCCCTTCTGAAGGATGCACAGCTGGAGGCATGGTCACTGTCCAATCTGGACCTATCACCTGCCTGCTGGCTCTAGACTGCCGGGCAGTAGGGTCTCTCTCCAGCTATGCCACCAATATACCTTCAGGACATGATATGGGTATCAAGCCAGCCCCGCTCCAAGGGAAGGAACAGAGCAAACTCATTCCTGAGAGCTTAATATCTAGAAGCTGACAACAAAGTGATGTTATATTAATAAGGTTTATATCAGTAATAATTATATAACATGTAGCACATCTAGCACACACCATGAGAAAACAGGACAGGATGTGCTACAGAGCAGACCTGAGGCCTGGGTAGTGCTGGCATCTGCTGATGGTGGTGGGAGGCCTCTGCAGAAGCAATGTCTGAACTCTGAGCTAAGACCTGAGCTTAAGGAGCAGCAGCCCTGGAGACCCACAGCAAGGGACTTTGAAGGGGACGAACTAAATAGGGCCAGGCCTGGAGGCAGGAGAAGTTCACTAAGGCCGAGAAATAAAGACGCAGAAGGGCTACTGCCGGGGTGGGAGGTCAAGGCCTGGGTGCCTGGGCAGCCCCAAGCAGGGTTTCTAGGAAGTCACCCAAGCATTTAGGCAATGGGGTAACTTGATCTTATCTCGGTTTCTGCAAGATAACACTGAGACGGCACCTCGCAGATTTCAGCTTCCACAGTCTGCAAATCAGGAACAGACACAGAAAAGCCCCTAATTAATGCTCAAGAGGTGGATGAACATTCCAACTGCGATCTGCTCTCTGAGATGAAATAGTATTTTTACATTTCTGTTTAACAAAGTGGAGGAGTGTAACATATTTCAGAAACCTGCCACCAAAAACTGAAACCAGAGGGCATCCTGATGCTTTGGCAGCCAGCATCCACACCACACACCCTTGCTCCCGGGTGCGGGCCCAGCACGCTCAGGGGTGCTAGCCGAGCTTTTCGAGAGCCATCGCGATTCAGTGTTTGTTTAAAGATCATTAACGACCTACCCAAGGGGTCAGAGGGCAGGGAAAGTGAGAAGCACAGTGTCAAAAGCCACAGCCAAGATCAATCAGACAGAAACATAAAACATCACTGAGATGGTCTGTCAAGGCAGAGGCACACACGACTTTCAGGAATGTGACACAGAGTGACTGGAAAATATCACGTTACGCAAAGTGTGTCTGCCGTGGAAGGCGGCCTGAGTCTCCTTCCCCCTGAACCCCCACCTAAAGTGCATATCTTTGTCACCAACTCCTGTCCTGTCTTCTGTCTCATGACGTTCACACCCTTTGGTCAGAGGTCTTAGGAGCAGGAAGATCCCTGGGTCATGTGAAGTTCTACGAGGACCCCAGGACCCCTTTGCCACCCAGCAGGTCCTCTGCAGAAGTCCTGGCCCCTTCCAGCTTCCTGGTGCCAACTCTTAGGCTGCAGCCAGCAGACACTGGTACCAAGTCTGCTTAGGGTGCAGTTCTGCTTCTCTGAGGGGTCTCTTAACAGACCCATGCCTGCCCCTAACCCCAGCTCCACAGCACCTCTGGGAAGGGCTTCCCTGCCCCTCCAGGGCAAGCTGGCCACTCTGACCTGACCTCCCACACAGCCACCACTGTTTACCAGCCAGCACTGCCTCTGTCATCACAACACACAAAGCATCCATGAGCTGCTCACGACCCCAGGGCTTCAAACACTACCCACTGCTCACACCTGCCAGTGTGCTCTCCCGCTGCCTGGAGCTGGGGTACAGCGCCTTTCTTTTTATACATAGGAGTGTTTGACATATAGAGGCTCACAACACACACAGCATGTATGCCAGGTCCATAATCTGCTGTGGGGTGGGTTTCGGAGCTTTCTGCATGGAGCATGTTGTAGTCGTGACACCGAAGACACCTGAAGCTCACCACTATGGATAAAGCATAGTGTAATCCAGGCTCTATCACTGTGCGTGGGGGCATTTCCAGGTCTGGCCTGGGCAATGTCTGATGAATTTGTCCCTGAGAGCCCGGCCTAGTGTGGGCCTGGAACAGGGCTGTGGGGTCAGATGAGGAGGGTCCAGCTCTACCAGACGATGAGCTTCTGCCATGTGGGCATGAGGCCACTGCTTCATGTCTTCTCCAGTGCTCGGCAGTGTAAGACTGACACGTCTGCCTGTCAAATTCTTGTCTCTCCTAACCAGAGGTGGGGTCAGAGTTCAACATGCTGTGCCCTTGGTGCCCACAAAGGGCCTGCCCATGAGAAATACCACTGCGAAAGGCCCCTCTGAAGAGGGCGACCCATTGCTCCAGGAAGGGAAAGAGCCCTTGAGGCCTGGTGCCAAGATGGGGGTAGAGCTTGCTCTTGTTTGTGAGCCCTCCAGTACCCTCATGGACCAGGCAGCTTTATTCTAAGCATGTTCTCCTGTCAGCAGGTCTTGTGTTCTCAGGACTGAAATAATAAAGAAGCCTTATGAGGGCACCATGAAGAGCAGAGTGATAAATAACTGTGCAAATCAAGATTTTAAGGGCCTAGACAGGAAATTGTGAACCAGATGGAGATGGGGACAGGGTGGCGGGGCTCTCATGGGGCGCACAGACAGAATCGCCAGAGTCCTTGGTGGCCAACCTCCACCCAGGGACACTCAGAAATTAGAAGACTGGTTTAGAACATGACAAACACAGGAAAGTAGATCATTTACCAACCTGATGATGGGGAAAACAGACTTCTTTTACCTTTTTTTTTTTTTAAGTCAAATTTGACAGACTTTGTCCCTCAATTCAACGATTCACTCAGCAAAGGTCCCCCACTACCCACGTGGAGTGGCTGAGACAGAGGACATACATCTAAGCAACACACTTATTAACTCCTCTATGCACCAGGCTGGGCAGGAACACGAGGGACAGCAAAGCTTCGTGGTGTCCTGAGTGCACTGCAGGACAGGGACCACAGGCACTAAAGAGAGCCACCAACTAATAAACACAGAATTATGGAACCACGAGAGGCTCTGGGAAAAAGGAGCAGGAGCTATGACAGTGAACAGCTGGGGGACCTAATTCATCCTGTGTGGCCAGGGAAGGGTTTCCTGAGGTGGGTTGGAGCCCAGGCCAGGTGGAGGAGGAAGAACCACTCACAGGGATGGAGGGACAAACAGAACATGCTGAGGCCCACTGTGGGCTGAAGGGGTGGCAGGGCTGGCTGTGGTCAGGGTGGGTGACGTCCAAGGGAAGGAGCAACAGGGAGCTGCGGGGTGGCGCTTGGTGTGCACCCAGATTGATGCCTTCTAGTTTGCATATTAGATTGCTCCTGCAACAGGAGTGGGAAATAGGCAGAGGAGAAACAATAGGGAAAGAGGGAAACTGGGAAGGAAGACACTCCAGTGGAGCAAGGAGGAGGGAGAGCACAGAAAGACTAAGGGTCTCTAGTAGGGACAGAGGAGAGGCAGCGGGTAGAGGGGCATAGAAGCTGCGCTCCAGAGAAGGGAGCACACAGACCCTCGGACGGTTCCTCCCATCTCTGGCGACTGACAAATGGCAACTCCGTGTCTCCAACCCTCAGGTGAAGGGTGGGTTCCAGCCTGCTCTTCTCTCCCTTTTGACACTATATCTCAGGCGTCAGGTCCTTGAAGATAGGTTCAGTGCCTGGCCCCTTCCTGTGACCTCTTCCTGGTCTGAGTTGCTGCCTGGCCTGCATCACTGCCCCTGCCCCTATAGTCTGCTCTCCAGAGGATGCCGTGACCCCAGGCAAGCTCCCAACTCACTGTGACTCACGGGCCCCCACCTGGTCATTGTCATTTCTCTGCATCTGCTATGACCCCTACCCTCACTCCCTGCTGCTCAGGTCACTTCTGTCATGTGGGCCTTCTTGCTTCCTGTTCCCTAAAGGCGCCAGGTACACTCCTGCCTCAGGCCTTTGCACCGGCCAGCTCTGCTGGTGATGATCTTCCTCCAGATACCCACATCTGTCCCTGGCTTCCTTCACGTCTCTGCTCCAAAGTGACTTTATTAGGGTCCACCATTGATCTCCCAGACAAAGAGCATCCCACACTGCTATCGCTTCTCTAACTTGTCTTATTTTTGCTTCAGAGCATTGACCAGCACTTGACACATTCCATATTTGTTCACTGGAAGTCACAACCTGCATGAGGATAGGGACCTTTTGTTTTTCTTTCCCACCTCTTTCCTCTGTGCCCACACCATGCTGGGCATACAGCAGGTTTCAGCACACAGGTGTGTGTAGCTTTAGCACACAGTACATCAGGCTCTAGGACTCCACCTGCCAGGCCCGAGAACACCTGCACTGCTGGGATCAGGGGTTGTAGGTGCTGCGGCCTGCTGATGCTGAGGCCTGGCTCCTAGGGCAGCCTGGCTCCCTGGCAGGGGGCACAGAGGCCTGGGTGGCAGGGTGAGCAGCACCTGTTGTGCTTGAGTGGGATCCATAGGGCGACCTGGGTCCTGGGCTCAGCTCCTGCCAGTTTCCTGTCTCCAGCATTGAATGCTTCTGGGGAAGGGAGGCCTGGATGCGGGGAGGGAGGCAGTGTGCAAGGGAGAGAGGAATACATCAAGCAAACAAACA